GTTGAGGGTAGCAGGAATGTTGATAAGCAGGTGGAGCTGCAAACTCTCAATGAGAGTGAGTTTGAGCACCAAGGTGGAGAAGATCAACATGATGAAGATGTCTCTGTAGAGCCAGAAACTTCAGAGTCCAGTGGACGAGCTCAACAGTCTATGGCTTCCGGTAGACCGAAGAGAGCGACTGCAAGAGTACCTCCACAGAGGTATGGCTTCGAGGACATGGTGGTGTATTCATTTCAGGTTGCTGAAGAAGTGGATGCAGGAGAGCCACAGTCCTATAGAAAAGCAGTTTCAGGTGGTGAAGCTGATCAGTGGCTTGCCGTAATGGGAGATGAGATGGAATCCCATGACAGGAATCAGACTTGGGAGCTAGTCAAACGACCACAGGGAAGGAAGATTGTTACAAACAAGTGGATCTACAAGAAGAAGGAAGGAATCAGTTCTGAAGAGGGCATTAAATATATAGCTCGGGTGGTTGCACGAGGCTTCTCACAGAGGGAAGGAGTTGACTACAATGAGATTTTCTCATCAGTAGTCAGACATACTTCGATCATAGTGCTATTAGCAATAGTGGCACATTATGACTTGGAGCTCGAGCAGCTAGACGTGAAGACAACTTTCCTACATAGAGAGTTGGAGGAAGAAATTTACATGACTCAGCTAGAAGGATTCCGGGTTCCGAGAAAAGAAGACTATGTTTGTAAGCTGAAGAAGTCCTTGTATGGACTTCAGTAGTCTCTGAGGCAGTGGTACAAGAGATTTGACAGTTACATGCTTGAGCTGGGCTACAACAGAAGTCCATATGATTGTTGTGTATATCACAGCAAGGCAGAGGATGGTTCGATGATATATCTAGTTTTGTATGTGGATGATATGCTCATAGGTGCAAGGTCGAAGTCTGATATCCAGAAGTTAAAGGGGCTTCTCAGTGCTGAGTTTAAGATGAAGGATTTGGGAGCTCCTCAGAAGATCTTGGGTATGGAGATTTACAGGGACAGGCCGAAGAAGAAGCTTTTCTTGTCACAGAAGAGCTACATCCAGAAGATACTGTCGAGGTTTGGCATGTCTTCAGCAAAGCCCTTAAATACTCCTAGTGCTTCAAATGTTCATATATACTCAGCTTATGCACCGCAGTCAGAGGCTGAGAAGGAGTACATGTCGAGAGTCCCATATGCTAGTGCAGTAGGTAGCTTGATGTATGCCATGGTATGCACTAGACCTGATCTTGCACATGTTGTTAGTGTTGTCAGCAGGTTCATGATACAACCTGTGAAGGAGCATTGATAGGCTGTGAAGAGTATCTTCCGGAACCTTATGGGTACACCTGATGTGGGGATTAGCTTTGGAAGTGATACAGAGTGCTTAGTGTCTGGGTATTCTGACTCGAATTATGCTGGAGATGTTGACAAGAGGAGATCGATGACCGGTTATGTATTCACTCTTGGGAGTTCTGTAGTGAGCTGGATGGAAACTCTGCAGTCGGCGGTGACATTGTCTACTACTGAGGCAGAGTATATGGCGTTGACAGAAGCTGCTAATGAGAGAATATGGTTGAAGGGACTGGTTGGTGATCTGGGTCTACATCATGATCAGGCAGTGGTGTATTGCGGCAATTTGAGTGCAATATTCTTAGCCAAGGATCAAGTCCATCATGAGAGAACTAAGCACATCGACGTGAGGTATCATTTCTTGAGGACAGAGAAGAGGATTGAGGTGAAGAAGGTTGGCACCGCAGATAATTCTGCAGATATGTTCACGAAGCCGGTTCCACATGGCAAGCTCCAACACTGCTTGGACTTGCTGAATGTCTTGAGTGGTTGACTCTGCTCTGCGGGGCATTGATGGCGGGAGAGAGAGAAAATGAGCAGAGTACATCAGAGATTTCAGAGGAAGAGGATTCAAGTCAAGGTGGAGATTTGTTGATGTGACTTGAATCGGACTATCATCCGCTACGAATGGTATTCGGGGGTCTCGCTGACCGGTCAGCCAGTGGGGTCCAGGGGCAACGCCCCGGTGGGGGTGCGGGGGGCAATGTTATTTGGGTTCGGGTTATGGCCTGGTCTGTAACCATTTCCTTTGCCAGATTGGATTAGGTTTAGACCCACATGGAGAAGTACTATAAATACTTATCATACTCCTCTGTAATCTGTAATCTCCTCGATATAGTGAAACTGGCTCTCTCTCGCCCGTGGACTAGCTAACACACATCGTGTTAGTGAACCACGTAAATCGTGTGTCTATTTTTTTCAATTCTCACTTTCGTATTCTTGCTTTATCGATTTCGGCGATATCCCGATCCGTAGCAGCGCGTTTACAACAGCATCCTAGGCTTCAATCCTTGCTGTGATCGCCTGTTGGTGGCCGACGATCGCTTAGATCTACGGCCCGATCTCCTCCTTGTCGGCGGTTTTCAGTGATGAAGACTGCATTGATAGCTTGCTTGGCGCCATGGTTCCTTGGCTTGGTACACTCGGAACCAGGCTCTGATACCAATTGATGTGTGATAGGGTTTTACGCACCGCCGAACTTGAGCTATTTGGCGAAAGAACTAGAAAATACGATAAAAGAGGTTCTTTTCTCTACTAACTAATAATACTTTATTAATCAAATGAATAAAGCGAAGAGCAAAGGTACATATATATAGGACTAATCCTACAAACCCCTTCCTCGTAAGACAAGGAAACTCAATCCCAAAACAATAAGTAAACGATTACCTCTTAAACAAGACACATGAAATAATAATACTAGATCCAAACTAATACGAATTACCAAATAATAACCAGATATTGTAATAAATAATTAATACGAAAACAATAATAATAATAATAATAATAATAATAGTCCAATGGGCTCGGCCCAGGATGCTATCACGCATCATGCTCTTCTTCCATGTGTGAATGATCTTCTAGGATCGCAGAGTACTGTTTCCCGGAAAAACCAAATGCCACCGCCGGTGCCGAATTCGTTTCCGGCGATGTTGATTTGATGTTCCGCGGTGGAAACTCTTGCGGTGCCGTTTGATCAAACGCACCGCTGATTGCTGAAATCGAGACGACCGTCAAATATCCGCCACCGAATGTCGGCGCCGTTGATTTGATCGATGCACCTCTAAATGGTGAAATCAACGTGACCGTCAAATATCCACCACTGGTTTCGGCGATGTTGATTTGATCGATGCACCTCTGACTTCTAACCAAGAACGAACGTTACTACGGTTCGCACCTCTCCAAACTACGTTCGAACGAGGGTGTTTGAGTTTTTTGAGGAATCTACACTACCGCTACTCCTATGGAGATTCCTGTGGAGAGCTCCGCGACTACGACTAAGACTACAACTATGGAGATCCTTCCTGGAAGGAGAGCTCCGCGAAGGAGTTACAGAGAAAAGGTAAGGTTTGAACAGAGTTGATCTGTGTTGATGTTTTGGTTGTCCACCCTCTCTCTCTTTGCTCCGCTGCTTTTATTTGAAATCACTTGCGTAGTCTTCACGACCTGCGGAACTGCTTCCTCAACCGCTCCGTTGTGAACTCCCACGTGTCTCAACCGTCTTGATCTCCTCCTCGCTCGGGTTGGTGTGAACTTTACGTGAGTTGTTTTCATGATCCCGCGATGTCGTTTCCTTTCCCAAACAACTCTGTTGGTTTTTTCCTCGCGACACTGTTATAATATTAAACGACTCCGCTTCCAGTCTCGCGGTGTCGTTGGCTCACTCGAGCTTGTTCTCCACGCAACGACCTTGTCGTCTACTACTACGACATCGTTTGTGTTGCAATATCTCGCGACATTGTTTTTACTAAACACTGTCGTTACCATTGGGCCTAATCGCGGTACCGTTTTAAATCCACAGTATCGTTTTACCCATCCGCGATGCCGCTTGTCGCGGTGCCGTTTTTAGCCAAATGACATCGTTTCCCAGTCTCGCGATGTCGTTGAGCTTCACAACACTGTTTTAATTTTAACACTGTCGTTTTAACTGCTGCGGCATCGTTTGGCCTACTTGCGGTATTGATTTATAATCCGCGGTGTCGTTTCTTTCCTCTTGCGGCATCGTTTTCAACTAAACGACACCGTCCTAAACAGCCATTAAAATATTAATTAATTAATCCGTCCATCACTAGCTATGGCCAACGACATCACTAGCGTCACAACAACTCCGTTTGTTTTTCCTTTTTGCGACATTGTTTTTTATTTAAACACTGTCGTTTGCTAATCCGCGGTACCGTTGAGCTTACTCGCGGTACCGTTTTGAATTAAACGACACCGCCGATATAGCCAAAAAATATTAATCCATGGAACTGCCGCAGTCGGCGCTCGCATTGGGCCGGGTGAATTTTGGTCACCTGCCCGATATGATTTTTCAATTAATCGGTACCGCTTACCAGGCTCTCGCGGCACCGTTTTTAAATCCGCGGTACCGTTTTAGCTCTCCGCGATACCGCTTATCTCCATGCGGTACCGATTTTCGGCTCCGGATACTATAACAACACTATAAGTGTTGTTATAATAACAACAAGGGTAAAACGGTCCATTAACCCAATAAATAATAAAATTAAAAATTGAAATAATTATCCCTACACGTCTTCCCAGTTCCCACCGCCACAAACAATTCCAGATTGTTTTCGTCCCCATCTTCGCCCTGCAATCGTCCCTGTTTCAGTCAAGTAGCAGGTGGATGCGGCACTCCGGCGTCGAGACGAAATCATCGTCGAGCTGGCGACCGCCGATGACAAGCTTTCGGATTGAACAGGGAAGGAAGAGAACATGGAGAGGGAGGACACCAAGATGCTGGTGAAGAGGCGGAGGGATTGCGCTTTGGCGAGGAGGGGTTCGATCTCGTCGGGGAGCGCGCCTTATTTGTCGCCCAGCTAGAACCGCGCGCCGCTGTCCTCCGGCGACTTGATACGGATGAGCAATTCGCAATTCGGGTGGAGCTGGCTCATCTTCTCGAGCTCGTCGGCGGAATCGAAGGTCGCGAGGTTGACTCCCTTTGCGGCGGCGTAGGCGATGTGCGATTTGGGCTTGCAAGGGTTGGCGAAGAGGATGCGGGCTGGGGAGACGCCAAGGGAGAGGACGGATCAACAAAATCTTGAACAAAATAGATTCATCACATCTAACTCTCTGTCTCCCTCAATCTGCGGATGGTACTCCTCACAGTCATGTTCTTCTATTTTTCTTTCTATCTGCATTTCTGCAGCTGTTTTGTGTGCTGAAAGAGGGATGAGATCACATTTGCTGTTGAGAGGGGAGCAACCTCAGATTCTTACTGGCTATAATCTTATCTCCAAAATGTATGGACATGTCAGCTATGTTCCAAGATCGGTTTATGCAGATAGGGAAGCCATGCCGAAGGGCCATGCTGATTTGTTGGCCGGGAGCCATGGTCATGTTCTGTGGTGTAGTGACATTGCTAAAGCTTCTTTTGCTGACGAAAGCAAAGCTAGGTGGAATAATGTTGGTGTTGGTAGTGAGGAGGATTGAGCAAGAAAGGTACTGATCATTAATGAAGGAGCTGGCGATGGTGTAGCATTGATCGGTGAGTGGACAAGGTTCTTGAGGCTGTTACCAATATTCCTATGCTATGCTCATTGCCACAAAAAATCTATTAAAACAAACCAGAGACCTCACAAAACAAACCACAAAATAAAAAAAAAAACACTAGAAACCTCATAATGCAAACCACAAACACGTTAAAGCAAACCAAAAAAACAAACCAGAAACGTCCTAATGCAGACCAAAAATCTACTAAAACAAACCAGAAATCCGGCAAAGCAAACCACAGAATTTTAAAAAACACACCAGAAACCTCATAATGCAAACCACAAACACGATAAAGCAAATCACAAAAACAAACCAGAAACGTCCTAATGCAGACCAAAAATCTATTAAAACAAACCAGAAACCTCACAAAGCAAACCACAAAATTTTCGAAACCACACCAGAAACCTCGCAAAGCAAACCACAAAAAATTCGAAAACACACCAGAAACACAATAAAGCAAACCAGAATCCTCCTAATGCAAACCACAAATCTCCTAAAACAAACCAGAAACCCCACAATGCAAACCACAACATTTGCGAAAACACACCAGAAACCTCATAATGCAAACCACAAACACAGTAAATCAAACCACAAAAAGCAAACCATAAACGTCATAATGCAAACCACAAATATATTAAAACAAACCAGAAACCTCACAATGCAAACCACAAAGTTTTTGAAAACAAACCAGAAACTTCTCAATGCAAACCACAAACACAATAAAACAAACCGGAAACTTCTCAATGCAAACCACAAACACGATAAAGCAAACCACAAAATGCATACAAAAATATGAGAAACCAAACCATAAATCTCACAATGCAGACCATACATCCGGTGGTCGTTGACCGTTGACCGGTCAACGAAGACCGTTGACCAGTCAACGAAGTTCGTTGACCGAACTCCGGTGACCGTCAGTGAGCAGATTCCGACGCCGATAGGCATATTCCGGCCCCGGTGACTAGATTCCGACGCCGGTAAGCATATTCCGACGCCGGTAAGCATATTCCGACTCCGGTAAGCATATTCCGGCCACAAAATAGCATATTCCGGCGACAAATAGCATATTCCGGTGACCGGCGACCATTTTCCGGCGACCGGTGGCAGAATTCCGGCGACCAAATTTTTGGGCAGAAAATAAAAAAATATTTTTTTTTTATTTTTTTTATTTTTTTATTATTTAAACATATTTTTCATAATGACAATTATACCCCTGTTTTGATTTTACACTAGGTCAACTCAACTAATAAAAAGTCATCACATCCCTAGCTTCCTATTGGTTGGGGACTAGTGTTGTTACAATAACAACACAATAGGTGTTGTTACAATAACCGGTCCCCCGATTTTCCCCTTCCAACAAGGAATAAAAATAATAATTAAATAATCAAAACTCCTCCTCCAACCTTCATTAAACGCACGACCCCTTTTTTTTTATTTTCTGGTGACCGGTGCCGCGGTACCGCTGAGCTTTCTTGCGGTACCGTTTTAATTCTCCATGCGGTACCGATTTTCCCCTTCCTACAAGGAATAAAGGTAATACTTAATTATAAGACTCCCTTCTCCAACCCAACTACACGCGCAGCCCTTTTTCTTTTTATTAAGCGGTGTCGTTTCCCATGCCGGCCGAGCTTCCTTGCGGTACCGTCTTTTAACTCTCCGCGACGCCGCTAGACTCCAAACGACACCGTTTATTACCCGCGGTATCGAATTAAATGCCGAGACTCATCCATGCGGCATTTAATTTAGTCTAGATTATTTTAGGTGTAAACAAGTACATAATTAGATGTTTGGATCATATTGACGTAGCATTTTTTGGTTTGTAATTAGTTAGAGTTAATCAGCCACTTTTTATTTAGAAACCTTTTTATTTTATTATTTTGAATAATGGCTGCGAATCACATTTTTTTTCTTTCATTTGTGGTCAATTGCAAGACTGCAAAATTTACAATATCAAATATCATAGACAAGAATACAATTCAAATTCAAAGAAAAGTGATGCTTGAATAACGAGATAGTATGCACACTCAGTAACCTTTTCTGTAAATAAAAAACTTGAACATCCCAATCTCTCTACATTAATGAACATTACTGCAATGGGAGCACATCCCTGTTAGTAATCTTGTGATGCAATAACCTCAGGCATAACCCAATAAGAATTCGCCACATCAGCGTCTCTTTCTCTCTCCTCGAAAAAGTTTTAATTTTCCTTCTCTTAATCTTTAACGAATGATTTCTCACTCATTTTAAGTCGGAATTTAAATTTTTTTGCACAGTTAGATCAGATTAATTGTGCTATACAAAATGATATACACTTTGATATTTTTTGGAACAAAAAAATTGTCAGTTATTACCAGTCTATATCATATGGTATTGATTGTTATTAAATAAAATCATACCATATGGTATGAAAAATACCACCCCATACCAGGGTGGTATAGTATGGTATGGAATTGGTAACAAGAGGTATGAAATTTTTTCACCCAAAAATTTTAGAAATACAATAGATCATGATTAAATCGTTCCTTCTGTTCAAAAATTTTCGAAAACGACTAAAAAACGAAGGAGATATCATATGGTATGGAGCTGGTAACGAGAGGTATGATAAAAAAATTCTAAAAAAATATTGAAAATGGATATCGTTTTGTAGAGCACAACGAACTCGTTTCATCTGTGCAATAAAAAAATTTGAAATCCGAGTTAGAATGAAGAAGATATGATCCAATCAAGAAAACTAGAGAAAATAAATTCCTTTAAATCTCCACCATTAGATCTGCAGCCACTTAAAATAAAGGTCCAGATTTGGTTACTCATAGTTATGCACCCTATCATGAGCCCACTGCAACATGTTGATGATTGCTCATGTTCGTACTATGAAGTATATATGACGCACATTGGCGTAGCCAGTGATGTAACCCAGTGGGGTCCAAAAATTACTTAAATCACTGATGCATCTCAATGGTAAATCATTTTAGATGGCAGCACGGGTTTCGAATTCAAAACTTCTGTCAGAACAGAAGCGTGCAATCGATATTCCAAACCAACACGAACGAACACAAAATTTAACGTGGTTCACTAACACAATGTGTGCTAGCTAATCCACGGGCAGAGGAGAACAAATTTCACTGATTTGAGGAGAGTACAGGTTACAAACCAAATTCCAAACGGACAAACCAAACAAACTAACCTGACTGACCTTTACTACAAACTAGGGTGATAAAGAGTATTTATAGAACTCTTCTCCTAATCCCAAACAGAAAACCAAACACCTTTTCCCAAACATACAAGGAAAAGGTCAAACAAAACCTAATCCCAAACCCAAACAGAATAGGCCTAAAACACAAAACAAACCCAAATCAAATTCAAGTCATATTCTAACAATCTCCACCTTGACTTGAATTCTCTCTCAAATACCAGATGTACTAGACGCAACCAAAGTTTCCAGATGTACCCAAACGCGATACGTATCGCCAAACGTATCCAAATGCGATCGAAACCGCCAAACTCAAACGCGATGCAAAATCGCCAAACTCAGATGCAATCAAAATTGTCAGACGTACTAAACTTCTCCAAATCAACTGTACCAGAATCTCCCCTGCCTCCAGATGCCCCTAAGGGCGGTCAACAACTCAAACCATTCGGCAAATCCAACCCATGTTGAGACTTGTCATTCGGAACCAGCTTGGTGCACTTATCACCAACAGAACATGTCAAGACAGATTCTTGTAGATTATACAAGGCACCCCGCTTGGCACCTTTCAAAATCACCTTAGAACCCTTGTAGAAAGACAACACTCCACCTTCACCTTTGAAACTGAAACCCTTGCTGTCTAGTAGACTCAAAGATATCAGATTCTTAGTCATCTCTGGAATATGTCTAACATTGTTCAAGGTGCGAACAGAACCATCATGTGTCCTCATCCTGACGGAGCCTCTTCCAACAATCTTACAGATAGCACCATTGGCCATAGAAACATGTCCTCCATCTATCTGCTCAGAAGTTGAAAAACACTCTCTGCTTGGACACATATGATAATCAGCTGCAGTATCTAAATACCACACATCCTGATGATGTACCTGTTCATTCACTGCTAAGGCTAAACCATCTTCAGAATCAGAGTTAGTTTCTTCCGCCACAGCAGCAGATGATTCCTTCTTCTCCTGATATTTCTTCAGTTTAGGACAATCAAATTTCCAATGTCCTTTCTCCTTGCAGTAATGACATATATCATCTTTCAAACCAGCAGAATTCGAATTTGTATTCGCCTTCTTATTACCATATTGTTGTCTCCTACTACTCGTAGCAGCCAACCCAGATGCTTGATTTTCCGAACCAGAACCAGACGCCTTATGTCGAACCTCTCTAGTATGTAGAGCAGATCTGACATCTTCCAAAGACAACCTATCTTTCCCAACAATAAAAGAATCCACAAAATTCTCATATGACTGTGGCAAAGATATCAACAGAATTAAGGCAGCATCCTCATCATCTACTTTAACATCAATATTCCGCAGATCTAACAAGATGACATTGAGTTGATCTAGATGATTCCTGAGAGGCGTACCTTCCTCCATACGCAAACTGAACAAACGTTGCTTCATATGCAACTTGTTGGTTAAAGACTTTGTCATGTATAGACTTTCAAGCTTCAACCACAAGCCCGCGACAGTCTTCTCAACAGCAACCTCAGTGATGATGTCATCATCCAAACAAAGCAAGATTGTAGAGTGAGCTTTCTCCTCCAAAGTAATCCACTCTTCTTCATCTATGCTTTCCTTCTTCGATTTTTCAGACAACGGAGCCCACAAACCCTGTTGTTTCAAGTGCTTGCATCTTGATCTGCCACAAACTGAAACTGTTTCTCCCAGTGAACTTATCAATCTTCATACTGATAGCCGCCATCCAAACTTTATAAAAAAAATTCCAACCAAATTAACGAAGAACACCAGACGGCTAAAAAACCCCAAAATATGCTCCTCTGTTTCGAGCTGCTCTCGCAGTCCAAACAACTAATTTAATTGGAATTAATAATTCCTCAACGCACAAACTTCCAAGATTCAAAATGTCCTTTTTCCAATCACAAAAGGACCAAATTCCTTCAAGACAATTAATTACTGCTTCTCAGCGATTAATTTTCTTGCACCAAAATACAAACCCATCTCCAAAAGAAAGAGCCACAAATCAAATACGCAGAGAAGAAAGGCAAAATCCGCCAACCAGTAGCGTGATCCCAAAGGCGACGAAGACAATTGCAAATATTCCAAGATCAACCGCGGCTCTGATACCACTTGTCAGAACAAAAGCGTGCAATCGATATTCCAAACCAACACGAACGAACACAAAATTTAACGTGGTTCACTAACACAATGTGTGCTAGCTAATCCACGGGCAGGGGAGAACAAATTTCACTGATTTGAGGAGAGTATAGGTTACGAACCAAATTCCAAACGGACAAACCAAACAAACTAACCTGACTGACATTTACTACAGACTAGGGTGATAAAGAGTATTTATAGAGCTCTTCTCCTAATCCCAAACAGAAAACCAAACACCTTTTCCCAAACATACAAGGAAAAGGTCAAACAAAACCTAATCCCAAACCCAAACGGAATAGGCCTAAAACACAAAACAAACCCAAATCAAATTCAAGTCATATGCTAACAACTTCCTTTATCACACCTTTCAAAGTATCTGTTTTTAATAGGGAGTTGATAAAGGTCGTCCTAAAAATTATTAATGACGTCCTAAAAAACAACAAAGTTACACTTTTAACCTTTTGGCATCTTTATCTTTCCTTTAGCAAACAAACACCACCTTCACTTAGAAAACAAAAAACTCTCATTCTCCACACTCTCGAATTTATCGACAAAATTCTGAAGCCGTAATCGTCGATAATACGTCCGACCAATGAGTCGCGAGTCTAACGAGGTAAAAATATCGTATTTTTTAAATAAAAAAACCCAAACCTCAACCGAATGTAATTTTGGTTGGTCCATGGTTCAACTAAAAACCAGATTCAGTTGAACCATGGACCAACCGAAAATTACCTTCGGTTATGCCATGGGTGAACTGAAAACCTTCTTCGTTTACACCACGGGGGAACCAAAACAGGTGCTCGGTTGAGCCATGGTGGAACCGAAATGGTGGTTCGGTTGAGTCCTAGTGAAACCAGAATCTGGCTTCGGTTGAGCCATGGAGGAACCAAAAATTGTTTTCGGTTGAGTGATTTATGGGTTTTTTTTAGTTTATATCAACATATTTCTATTTTTTTTTGCTATGATTTATTTGGTCCATAAGATAATTTTTTGAATTTTCATTTATATTATTTTCTAGATTTATGAGCATAACTATTTGTGAAATTGAAGGATTTTGTATAGAAAATTAAGATTAGATGTAATAAAGAAAAGAAAAATGTAGAATATGATTCTTACATAAGATATAGTTATAAAATTTGAAAATTCTTATTGTAGAAAAATGTTGTTATGTATAATGCAGAATATGATTCTTAAATAATAGAGAATGTTAAATTTGCCATGTTAAATGTTGGATTTTGCATAGGAGTATACAGAGAATGCTATATTATTTATGATAATTGTTACATTAAATGTATTTGTTAAATTTTTTATAGTTGTGGAGTATTACTTATATTATGTGATTTAATTAACATTGTAGGATATTGATGATTACGGAGGGGATGAAAATGATTACACCAAGGACTTCATCGATGATGTGAAATACGATACGGATTTGCTTGCATATGCAGTAGCTATTGAGATTGCCAAGGTTTTGGTGTTTTATGTAGTGAAGGCATCAAACAAAAAAAAAATCCAAGTGAAGATAGTAGGCGACATTACTTGAAGTGCACTCATGGTAGGAAGAAGAAATCGAAGACTCCTGATTCTGATCTTGCAAAGGAAAGGAGGCCTCTTACTTCTTCTGAAAAGTTGGGGTGCAAATTTCAGATCAAGATTGAGCGGTCAGATGATGGATATTGGTTGATAGTAGGGGTGACTGATATAGATAATCCTGGTGCTAATTTGGGTTTCCACAATCATCGGCTAGAGCTATTTCCGGATAGATCAAGTAAGAGGAATCCTTTGACTGCAGATGATAAGCAATATATCCGAGAGTTGGGATTGGTCGGTGTCGCCCCAAAGAATATCCACAAGGCAGTGAATAAGAGAAAAGGGACGCATGGAAAGGTCAACAGAAGACTGATATATAATGCATTGTATAAGATAACAAAAAAAGAGTTTGCAGATGAGAGCCTTACAGTATACTTTTCACGATGCCCGGGAGAAGGGATACTATGTGCACTATGTGGATGACCACAATGTGCTTACACACTTGTTCCTAGCCCAACCTGAGTCAATATTGATGTTGCGAGTTTGGCACCATGTCATTGTGATAGATGCAACTAACAAACAAGTATTAGTTTCCATGGGTTGAGATTGTTGGCATGAAACCAGTGGGATTGAACTTTGTCATTGCATTTTGCACTAGTGTATGACGAGACAAAAGAGTCGTACCAATAGCTTCTCACGCATTTGCAACATCTGCTTGGCTCTATGACTCCAGATGTGTTTGTCAGTGACAAAGCAGGAGGATTGGTTGAGACCGTGGGGGTAATGTTTCCATCATCGACTCATATACTATGCCTTTGGCATGTAGACAGGAAAGTGAGAGTGAGGAGTCTAATTGAGGTGAGGAGGACGTCTCATTGTGGGATAGATGCAGCCAAACCGACGGTGGATATAATCATGGCGTCCTGGAAAAGGGTTGTATATGCCATAATAGAAGAAGACATGAATACAGCATTAGACAGTTTCAGGCATAGATGGGAAGTACAGTATCGACGACTTTGGAGGTACTTGTCAGCTAAGTGGTTACCTAAAAGACACATCGGGTTGAAGCTGCTCATTCTGCCTTCAAGAAGTGGCTTCGATCATCTACTTGTGCAATCAACACGGTTAGTCTCGTCATAAATCTTCATTTATGTTTTCTTGAGAGATTATACTTAATAAAGTATCCTAATTCTTATTCATTATTTGTAGGTTTTTAAGAAGAACCATGATTACATGAGGCTCAACATCTTCAAATAAAAAAGCATCTAAATGAATATCAAACTAAGAAGATGGCATTGGTGGAAGGAAGACCATTTCGAGAGTTGAATACAAACGTCACTCTAGAGAATATGAGGTTGATGCTCCTCGAGGTAGCCGTGGAAGGAGAAAGTTGTACATGTACGTTTCCTGCTACCCATGGTCTCTCATGTAGATGTGCAATGCAGTTAGCACGTTCTGAAAAGCGAGACTTTGCCCCATATGAGGTGTTGGCTTTCTAGACCATTATGAACTATCGTGAACCACCTACTTGGGTAGAGTGCAGCGGCGGATCCAGAACACAGAAAAGCACTGGGCCGTATTTCATTAGAAAATTAGAAGCGCAAAAAAATATAATGACTATAGTTTTTTTACAATGTCAATTGTACGCAACGGTATTTTAATTTAGCAAATGCATCAATAATGGAGTCCACATCCATACCAATAGTATACACTGTTTCAAATAAAATACTTGAGCAATCGGCGAGAAATTCATTGCTTATTTTATTGCGCAAATCATTTTTCACATGTTTCATTGTTGAAATGGTTCTCTCTGCAGTAGCTGTTGGAACTAGCAGCGTCAACACTAGACAAATCAATCAACTAATCAATTTGCATTGTGTGTCCATCCCTATATTCACTAGTTGCTCTAGTAAATTACTAAATTTTCAAGGAAACAAACCTCGTATATCTTTTAGTCTTTTACGTTTTAGACTTTTAGGTTTCGTTGTTTTTTATACGAATAATCTTTAGGGCTAAAATTTCTACGCTAAATCTAGATTTTTTTTATCTGAATCATTTTTCTAATTATACCCAATCTTATTATAAAATAACACGGGGTCGAATGTCTAAAATCGAAAAATTCATAAAAACTAAACTAACACCCGATTCAGAGGAGGGCTGGGCCGAGGCCTGGGGTGGCCACCCCCTGAATCCGCCAGTGGCATAGTGGGATGACCATAGTCATTACCATCGTGAGGTCTTCTAAGGTCTAGTACATGAGGTTCTTGATATGGGAGATGCGACCATTCGAGGAGCTATTGGCCTACTTCAGAGTCATCTTCATCCTGAAAATGATGGCATTGATGAGCCACATTATTTGTAATACGCTGTAAGTCTTACAACACGACATTCCATTCTTCCTTTCGTTTTTTCTTTCATTCTTTTCTTATTCATATACGGTTTGCCTATTTCATGTCTTGACATCTTAAAATAACAATTAATTAATGATAATCAAATGCATTAAAATTTTGTATTGATTTTCTATAATGATATGTAATTTTTTGATAATTTATTAACATTTGTTGCAATTTTCCAAGTCATTTCGGCTATTTTTTCTTTTGTTAATTTCTGATAATTTATTTAGTTTTGAAGATAATTTCTGATAATTTTTTATAATTTTATTAATTTTTATTATTATTTAATTTTTCATATTATATTTGATAATTTATTAACATTATTTATAATTACATAGTTCGGCTACTATTTATTTTTTTC